CCCTATTGGCAGGTATGGTCTAGAGCAGTGGTCGGCAAACTCATTAGTCAACAGAGCCAAATATCAACAGTACAACAATTGAAATTTCTTTTTGAGAGCCAATTTTTTAAAACTTAAACTATATAGGTAGGTACATTGTTATTAACTTAATTAGGGTACTCCTAAGTTGGCCTTTGCTAAAAACCCAAGGGGCCAAAGAGCCACTGTTCTAGAGTCTCACTGCCCACATCCCAATAAGCACTGAGCTCTGAGGTAGATGATCTGACTTATCTTAGTGCTTGCAGAGCCCAGCACAGAGTAAGCTTGCAGGAGAGGCTTGCTGTGTTGCCCTGCCCTGACCCTGACCTCTTCTCTCTAACTACGGGGGATGGGCCTGATGGGCCTGCCTGGTCTTCAGAACTGGTTCAGGGCTTAGCAATGGAATCCCAGCACACCACACTGGAGACTATAGAACTCCAATCCTGCTCCTCCTCCCATGACCTTGATGAACTAACCCTGCCTTTGGCATCAACATACAATCAAACCAGGGAACCCAACCAAGCACAGCTGCCTCTGCTTGCTGCTGCTCACTGCGTAAAGCCTGCATAGGGCTCTGGCCCACCATGCCTGCCAATGGAGTCAGCAAGACAATTCCAATCCTGCCACTCCCCTGCCCTGTGACCTTGGACAAGTTAATTCCATCTCCAACTCATCAGCTCCCTCATCTATGAGACAAACCCAATAGCATCACCTTCACAGAGACAGTATGAAGACAGGATAAAAAACTATGCCATCATCCTCAACACTCAGAATTAATGAGCATTACAGTGGGCTAAACAATTCATATGCAAAATATCAATGCCCGATTAAAAAAATAGCAATTAGAAAAGTAGCTAACATGTATTGTTTTCCACCTGCCAGGCAATCTTGTAAGCACTTCATGTGGGTTACAGTATTAAACCTCCAAAATACCTTTATGAGGATGACACTATTATTAGTCCCATTTTACAGATAAGAAAATTAAGGCGCCGGGGCCAGGTGGCTTCACAGGAGAGTTTTACCAAACATTCAAGGAAGAACTAAAACCTATCCTTCTCAGACTAATCCAAAAAATTCAAGAGGAAGGAACACTTCCAAACTTCTTCTATGAAGCCAGCATCACCCTAATATCAAAACCAAATAAAGACAACTCAATGAAAGAGAATTACAGGCCAATATCCCTCATGAACTTAGATGCCAAAATCCTCAACAAAATTCTAGCAAATTGGCTCCAGCAGTACATCAGAAAGATCATACACCATGACCAAGTAGGATTTATTCCAGGAATGTGAGGATGGTACAATATCTGCATATCATTAAATGTAATACATCACATAAGCAAATTGAGATATAAAAATCATATAGTCATATCAATTGATGCAGAAAAAGCATTTGATAAAATCCAACACCCTTTCCTGATAAAAACTCTCAACAAGGTGGGAGTACAAGGATCATACCTCAACACAATAAAAGCTATATATGATAAACCACAGCCAACATATACTCAATGGGCAAAAACTGAAACCATTCCCTCTAAGAACAGGAACAAGACAGGAATGCCCACTCTCACCATTCCTATTTGATATAGTACTGGAAGTACTAGCCATTTCAATTAGATAAGAAGAGGAAATAAAAGGCATCCAAATTGGAAAAGAAGAAGTAAAGTTATCCTTATTTGCAGATGACATGATATTGTAAGGTATGTACACATTTAATACCTTAAAAAAAAAAGAAAGAAAATTGAGGCCCAAAGATGGTAGTAAATTCACCAAGGCTCCAATATAATCAGGTGACAATGCTGGAATTTGAACCCAGAATGTTTGGCTCCTGAATCTTTACAATTTGCCAGATCTGTTGCCTTTTATACTAGCTACTCAATAGCAATTGTTATTGCTTTGTGTTTGTTACCATTACCATCATTAATCTTATTTGTCCTCCATATAGCATAGTCATCACTAGCTCCAGTAACATTCAATTTATCCTGCGGTACATAACTCCAAAGAAGACTCCCTCTGTTTCCAGTGACCCACACCTTGGATTCTGGGCTTGGCTTTTGGCCAACAGAACATGGAAGAAGTGATGCTCTCTCACTTCCAAAGTCAAGTTGTAAGGAGTCTTATAGCTTCCTTTTAGTCTCAAGATGCTATCATGCTGTGAGAACTCCAGGCTGCATAGACAGAGCAGGTGTAGGTATTCATTGGCAGGCCCACCTGAGATACCAGGTGACAGCCAGATCACCTGCCCACTCTGGGGGTGAACCACCTTGGATGTCAAATTCAGTCAAGCCCCCAGATGACTCTAGCACCAACCAACTTGACAGACATCACCACCACCACCACCCCCTAACCCTGACTTGTGTCCAGCCCACATATAGGACCATACAAGATGACAACAAAGCTTTGTTTTGAGCCACTAAGTCTTAGGGAAGTGGTCGGCAAACTCATTAGTCAACAGATCCAAATATCAACAGTACAACGATTGAAATTTCTTTGGAGAGCCAAATTTTTAAAACTTAAACTTCTTCTAATGCCACTTCAAAATAGACTTGCCCAGGCTGTGGTATTTTGTGGAAGAGCCACGCTCAAGGGGCCAAAGAACCACATATGGCTCGCGAGTGGAAGTTTGCTGACCATGCTCTTAGGGAGAACTGCTTAGCATCAACCTATAAGCAGAACACTTGCTGTGTCTTCCAGCTCAATACACAGGTCCCAGCACACCTTGAAACAGAGTTCTAATTACCTGTATTTGACTTCTCACTAAGTTTAAAGATAAACACCTCTTTCAAGGAACAATAATTACTATTTGTGGACCTGGGGCACATTATTTAACTCTCTGTGCCTCAGTTCCTTTATCTATAAAACAAGAATGCTAAGAGAGTAAGACGACTACCTAGTTCAAGGCTGCAGTGAGGAGGAAATTAGTTAATTCAGATAAGATGTGTAAAACAGTGCCTGGCATTCAGAACACAACTCCCTTGCTCTTTCTTTCCCTCTCTCTCCAACCACCACCCTCCTGGCATTGCTCCATTTTCTTTTAACTGAGCCAGGCACTGTACTAAGCTTTCTACATTTTAAAATCTTAATCCTCACACTTAACCTGAAGGTAAGCATTATTATGCCGCACAGCAAATGAGGTGAGGCGAGGCGAGGCACACCAACCCTCCTGGCTGAGAAATGAAGGAGTCGGGAACTGACCCAGTCCCTGTGAGGCCACAGCTCATCCCTGCCTCCACCACGCCACCCCTCTTGGACCCCGGCAGAAATCCCTGGGGCACACGTGGTAGTGGCAGCATCCGCTTGGTGGCCTCATCTCCCCCGGAGCCCAGCACACAGTGCAGCCCAGCAATCCGTTCACTTACAAACCCCGCTCCCTCGGTGCAGGTGGCCCTTGATCCCAGGGCTAGCACCCCTGTCTGACACTGCTCCTTGGCAGGGAGCTGTCCTACCTGCTGGTGTGAACAGCACTCTTCAAAGCCTCCAACTGGATGTCAGGAAGCAGTTCACAGCAGCGAGCAGGGTCAGCCTCCAGGGACCAGCTCAGGCTGCGTTTCTGCGCCTCTCACCTCCCAGGACTAGCACTCAACAGCCCTTACGTGAAGGCAGCCAAGTGGCCTGCAAGTGGGAGTCCTTCCTCTCTGTGCGAGTGGAGGCAGGATGCTATTGGATGTAATGGAGTGACCTGCCCAGGTGGGAGTCGGGTGAGTGGAGGAGGGATGCTATTGGATGTAATGGAGTGACCTGCCCAGGTGGGAGTCAGGTGAGTGGAGGAGGGATGCTATTGGATGTAATGGAATGACCTGCAGGTGGAAGTCCCTCCTCGCTGGGTGAGTGGAGGAGGGTTGCTATTGGATGTGATGGAGTGACCTGCCTGGAGTCGGATGAGTGAAGGAGGGATGCTATGATTCCCGAGTGCTTTCTCATCTCAGAAACAGAGAAGGCAACGCTGCAAAGTGTTCTTGGAAGGTCCTGGAGCAGGGGGACATCTCTTGCTGTCGGCTTGCATAGGAAGAGCAAAGCATTCTCAGGTGTGGGTGGCGTCTCTCACATCAGCCCCAGGTGATTTCCAATGCCCTTTCCATCACCTGGGCCTGCCTCTCCTTCCTCCCTCCCACTGCCTGTCTAGCTACTGCCCTGGAGCTGCCCAGGCCCTCCCTAGACCTGCCACACCCTGGGTGCCCTGTGCCCTGTGCCTGCACATTCTTCTCACTTTTAGCAAATGCCTTCCTCGTGTCTGAGGGCCTCTGGACCCTCCACTTCATTCTCTAAGGTGACAGCCAGCGAAACTGAAGCCAGTTCTGTTCTTAGCCTGGGAACTGTTACCCTCTCCCACCAGGTTTGGATCTGGCCTGGTAGGTCCTGGGGTGCACAAGTCTTTACCCAAAGATCTTATCAAAAGCCAGATGGTGTTTATGTCAAAGGACATCCCCACAAACACATGCTCAAGTCCTCACCCCAAGTACCTCAGAATACCATCTATTTAGAGACGGGGTCTTTAAAGATGGAATGAAATTAAAAGGAGGCCACTGAGGTGAGCCCTGACCCAATAGGATCGGTGTCCTTAAAAAAAGAAGCGATTAGGACACAGACACACACAGAGGGGCAGTCATGTGAACACACAGGGAGAGATGGCCATCTACAAGCAGAAGAGAGGGCTCAGGAGAAATCAACCCTGCCCACACCCCCAGCCCAGACTCCTAGCCCCCCCGCACCTGTGAGCAATGAATGTTGTTAGATCACTCCGTCTGTGGTAATTGGCTTCAGCAGCCCCAACAAGCTAATACGGATCAGACAGACACAGAGGTTGAAAGTTCAGGGCATATTCAGGCCACAATGAGAAACTCATTGTGTCAGGACAGTCGGAACCGTAGGGGATGATCTGGACCTCACAATGCCACCTCAAAGGCATCACCTGCATCGCATTTGCCCCTGAAGCAAGCCAATGCACGCTCACACCGGGTCCAGGCCTGCGGAGGCAGCACTCACCTCTCTCTAGGCAGCTGGTGGTTGGGATTGTGGCGGCAGCGGACGCTGAGGCCAAAGAGCTTGCGGGCGGTGCGCTGGATCTTCTGCCGCTGGGCCTCCATGGAGCTCTGCAGGAGCTTGTAGCGGTTCTGCAGGTCCCAGTCATTGCCCCAGTGCTGATGGATGCTCCCGATGGTCAGGAAGTGGTTGCTGGGCAGACGCTTCATAAACGATTTAAACTCATCTGGCGGGAGACAAAGGCCAGGAGAGAAGGCTGAGCCTGCAAGCCCCAGCTGAGGTCGCTCACCAAGAAAGTGGGCCTGCAAGTAACACTGACTGGCTGGAGGCCCAGGGAGCAGGGTGCTCGCCTGCTCGGCTCCCGGGAGGGGTGCAGAGGCCCCGTGTCAATAGGAAGGCTCTTTGGCTTTGCTGCTCCAGGAGGGACCCTGCATCCTACTGAGGACAAACTTGTGTCATCTGAGTGCCACCTGGATAGCAATACCCACATATCACATGTGTTTTTATTTACTCAGAACCCATTACACCCAATTTTTGTCCAATTCTACATAGGAAACCACGTGCCTCCAGTAGGATGGGAGCTGTAAAAATAAGTATGATGGAAGCAATGTTAATAAATCCTAGCCAGCCCTAATCGGTTTGGCTCAGTGGATAGAGCGTCAGCCTGCAGACTGAAGGGTCCCTGGTACAATTCCGGTCAAGGGCATATACCTTGGTTGCAGGCACATCCCCAGTAGGAGGTGTGCAGGAGGCAGCTCGTCGATATTTCTCTCTCTTCGATGTTTTTAGCTCTCTATCCCTCTCTCTTCCACTCTGTAAAAAAAATCAATAAAATATATTTTAAAAAAAATAAGTTCTAGCCAGATATAGTGCCCTGCTGCATGACCAAACCCCTGTACCTGCTCTCACTCTGAAATACAGAGAAGTAGCAAAGGGTCGATAGGTGTTAAAAGCACATTTGCACCACCTTCTCTCCGATGTGGTCTTCAGGTGTGACGGAGAGCTGAAAGGATCCGCCTCCCCACTGTGGAACCTAGTCTAACGGGAAGTCTTGTGTGCATGCCATCTTATGTCAAGTCCCATTGGGGTACTCCAGCTTAAGAGATGGGAACAAACTCCAGAGCCTCCGGGGGAAGGTCTGTGCCTGCGTGATGCTAAGTTTCCCAGAGTCAGCAAGAGCTACGACTTGACACAGACTCGGAAATTATCTGGGTCAGCTCTCTCGCTCTGTACACAGGGGCACTGCAGTGCACAGTGAGAGAAGGACTTTCTGGAGGTAGAACAGCCTGTGAATGCCACAGGCGGGACTAAAAGCAGAGCTGCTGTTTTCCCATCCAATTCCTACTGGCCTGCCGCGCTGATGCCCCCTTCAACTTTTGGAAAAAATAAAGAATTAAGAGGTTAATTTTTTTTTTACAGGAAAAAAGGTAAAGTGATTATATATATATATATATATATATATATATATATATATATATATATAAAATCCTAAGCCTAATATTTTCACTTTATGCTACAAAACCTACAAGAAAATTTCAGGTATAATAGGCATTCATTTTATTTTTTAAAAATGCTTACATAGCTCTCTGTAAGCATCAGGCTCAGTCTTAAACACCTAACACATATAAGTGATTTTATAGCAAACCTGTGAAGTGGATGCTTTCAGTGCGCCCTTTCATAAGAAACTGAGGCACAGAGAAGTTCATTAACTTGTCAACGTCACACAGCCAGTAATAACAGATTCAGAGCTCTAGACTGTCTCCAAATCTGATGCTCTAAGTTAACATATAACACATACTCTCTATGCAAAAAGAGGATCGTGGGAGAAACAATGAAACAAAAGGTGCTAAAAACACGCATACAGGAAACCCATTTCTGACTCCAGAACTTGGGCTCCTCGTTCTGGGCAGCCAGACGTGCGTGCCTGCAAACTGCATCTCGCCCACCCACAGCTGTGTGACCTTATTCTCTCAACACTTCAGTGTCTCCATCTGTCAAGCAGGTATAATGCATCTAATTTAAATGTAGAGAGGGTGACATGGAACCGTATCAGCCTAAATAGCTCCCAAATCCAAAAAGTGCTCTTGGGACAGTTGCAGGACATGGAAAGGATAAAACAGGGCTGCACAGATTGATGTGTTCGGTGCACAGGCTGCAGTCAGGGCACTGGGCTCCCCTCTGCTGCTCTCGCCAGCCCAGTGCTCCTTCCATGGAAGACACACAGCTTATCCTATAAGCACAGCTCCTCCTACAGACACAGCTCATCCTACAGACACAGCTCATCCTATAGACACAGCTCATCCTACAGACACAGCTCATCCTACAGACTCAGCTCATCCTATAGATACAGCTCATCCTATAGACATAGCTCATCCTATAGACTCAGTTCATCCTATAGACACAGCTCTTCCTATAGATACAGCTCATCCTAGAGACACAGCTTATCCTAGAGACACAGCTCATCCTAGAGTCACAGCTCATCCTATAGATACAGCTCATTCTATAGACACAGCTCATCCTATAGATACAGCTCATCCTATAGATGGTTCTGCTGACCTGTAGGGAGGTAATAGTCCTTTCAATAAACCCAAATTTGGGTCAGATAAGAAAAAATAATTTAAACGTTAAGATGATTTACTTTCTTGACTAAAAGTGGAAGATTCCCTCCCAGCAAGGACAGGCAGACCCCCATCTCTGTGTGTGAAGTCAGCCCTGTTTGACCACCAACACTCCCTGTCCATCAAGGCATCGATGGCGTTTACCTTTGGCTGGTTGAGAATCCTTGGCATTACCTGGTGCTGGCTCATTAAGGCTACAGACTCAACATGAGGAGGAAAAGGCACAGACACAAGCCACACGTGCATGGGTGGTGGATGCATCTGTCTCAACAGGGAAAAGCCTTTTGCAAATGGCTAAGCACGCAGTACCTAGAGTGAATACATGCTCCAGTGGGGAAAAGCATGGCACCAATGACTCCCATGGTCCCCCCCATCTCACTCTGCAGCATCTCAGCTCTCTTGTTCCCTCACCCAGCTGCCCACTCATAGTAGCTGCTTTTCCTTGGGTATAAAGATTCTACTCTAAAGACCCTTCCTGCTGTTCCCCTCTGCTGATTAGCAATGGAGAGAATCTCTTTGCAAAAGTATTTAATCAATTGCTTCTTTTGTTTGAGGCCAAATAGTCATCGCCATCCTTTTCCATCCTGATCCCCTCCCTTTGATGCATTCCCAGGACTTTAAATGGACTAATGGGCGCAGGTTCCTAAGGCACCCACAGCTCCCCGGAGCTGAGTGACCTTCTAAGAGCAGAGTCACTGATGCGTCGTGAGCGCTCAGGGCCGGTTGGGAACTCAGAGTTCATGGTAACCAGTGGTTTCCAAACACAGCTCCACGGAGATCGGCTTCTATCGGCGGTACACAGTGGCTCCGAGGTATGATTCTGTTTGATCAAAGGGTTTCTTGGCTACATATTTAAATAAATTCAAAAATTAAACACATAAACATGTCCTCTCATTTATTAGATGAGGGAACGGAGGACTGGGGGAGGGAGTGGAATTAATAAGGTACAAGAGCTGCTGTGAGCACTGGGTTTGGAACCGGGGATTCCATTACCGACTCTGCCATTTGCTATGTAACCCTGGGGAAGGCACTCGGTCTTGGCACCCTCCCTGCTCTACAATATAAGAACACCATTACTTACTTTAATGCAGTTCTCGTAATAGATTTAAGGAATATAAAGTTGTTTTAAAAACAGTAATGCTCTCTCAATATGTCCATTTACTTAACAGATATCTGAGTACAAATTATAGGCCATTATTTGGCATCTCTTCATGAAAGTCTCGAGGATTCCCAAGCTTTCGTGTTCGAAACAGAATCCACAGTTTTCTTTCCAAAGCTTGCAGGGTGTTCTAGCTTGGTGAATGGCACCCACACCCATCAAAGTACCTGACGAATATGCCCAAAAAGAGTTCTGGGGATCTCTTTCTGCCCTTCCTTTCTCAAGTCCTGCTAATTGTCCCTTGTAAACAGCTCAGCATCTCTGCACACTTCCCACTGTTGCTCCCTGTGCCATGGTCCTAGCCCACATCACAGGCACATCCTCTAGGTGCCTGAGGTGGCCTCTCATTGGTTGGGTGCCCACTCTCTGACCTCTGGCCCCAGGCAGACACATGGACCCTGCTCTTCCCCAGTGACCTCCCAGACTCCTGACCATGCCAATCTCCAGCTCTCTAGCTTCTCATTCTCCACACAAATGTGATTAAAATGTCAATGCCTGGCATGGTGATATGATTAATGCCTGGCTTTCCCATTAACCAGAAGCTGTGTGACGACCAAGATCCAACTTGGCACCTCAGCCAAGTTGTGTTCTTAGGTGACTGACTTTCCTCCTTGGGACCATGGGAAGCAGTGACTTCCAGCTTTGACAGTTGGTGAGTTATTTGGATATCTACATTAATATCTACATATAGATGTGCATAGACATAGACATATATGCATATGTATGTGTGTTTCTTGATTTAGATACACTCACAGACTCAAGGAATTCATACAAATACATTGAACTCTCCATTCTGCAGAGGCATCTTATGTGCTACGTGGCTTCTCTTTCTGTCTCGGGTACATCAGAGACATCCATCACAGGCCCACAAACCTGACTGCACTGTTCATTATTCCAACCAGTGGAGCTATTGAGTGCCTACCGCTTGACAGTTATGAGACCCTGCCCTGGACTCTCCAAAGAGGAGGGGGGAAGGAGGGTCCTCAGCTCCCTCTTGGCTACCCTCACCCCAGTGAGACAGCATCTAGGTTTAGCTCAGGGCTATTCATGCAGCAGAACTAAGCCAGCTCTCTACCTGAATTCTCCAGGTCCTTGTAAGCCTCCGCCCAGGACTTGCCCATGTTGGCCAGCGTATACTCCATGATCTGGATGTCGGTGATGGGGCAATTGCACTGCGGGAACTCCTCGGCACACTGGCATCGGCACTGGCTGTTCTGGCACACGTACTCGCCCTCGCCATTACACATGATGTAGCTCAGGGCCGACTGGACAAACTTCTCTTGCAGGTACGGAGGGAAGATGATCTGCAGGCCTGTTTGAGAGGAGCAAGATGGGGAGATGGAAAGGTTAGAAAAGGTGTTTCATTAACAGCTTCCAAAGGTGACAGGAGAAATCTGAAGCTGCTAGCTTCCTCCCAGTGTGTCATAACCAAAATATCTTGGAGCCTGCCTCCATCCAGACAGGGCATAATCGGCAAGGCCCCTGGCTGCATTGCTTCTACTTAAAATCTCTCAGGTCATAACCTTGGCCATCTCTGAAAGGCAGGCTCTATTCCATTTTATTAGGACTGAGATCTGGTATAAATCTTTTCCATTTGGGGAGGAGAAAACAGAAAGTAGAAGATTACTATTGCGTTTTTTTGTTTGTTTGTTTGTTTGTTTTTCTTATTTTCTTCATTTCCTTTTCCTTTCTTCAAAAATTTATGAGCCCTATTTATGAAGCACAGGTACTGAGCTAGGCACTAGGTCTAGAAAGATAAAGAAGTCGCGATCCCAGTCTCTGGGGAGTTTACAGTATAATCAGCAGGAAAAGACATAGATACACATCATCCTAACACAGCTTTATAGACCTGAAACAGGGAAGGCCGGGGGAGGCGTTGGGCAGCGAGGACTGCAAATAACCCTGAACCGAGAGCAGGGGAACCTTTGTAGAGGAGATGGTACTGGGTTGGTTAAAAAGCGAATCGGAGATCATCATGTACAGAGAACAGGAAGCACATTCTGAGGAGGGGAACAGCAAGAACAAAGACAGAATGTGAATGAAATGAGTTTGGTTGGGGGAGGGCGAGGGGGGGGAGGGGTGAGAGGCCTGCAGTAGGAGAACAGGTTTTAGAGAAGAGCAGATGCTAAGGAATTTGAACTTCATTCTGCAGATACTTTAGTGAATTTCAAGGTAAGACTGATATTTGAAGAGAGATATAGTTTCATAAGACCACTGTATCATTAAAAAATAAAATATTAGTATTACCCCTGGCCAGTGTGGCTCGGTTGGTTGGGCATCATCCCATATACCAGGAGGTTGCCAGTTGGATTCTAGGTCAGGGCACATGGTTAGTTGTGGGCTCAATCCCTGCTCGAGGGGCAGCATGCAGAAGGCAGCCCATCTAATCGATGTTGTGCTCTCACATCGATGTTTCTCTCTCCCTCTCCTTTCTTCTCTACAGATCAATAAACTATTCTATATATGTGTGTATATGTGTGTGTGTGTGTGTGTGTGTGTATACACACACACACACACACACACACACACACACATATATATATATATATATTGTTCTAAAAATGAAGAAGCCAGGACCCAACAATGTGACTGACCTGTGGTTGGTTATAGGAATAGCATTGTTGACCCCAGCTCATGATTTTTTTTCTATAATTGCTAATCAGTCTTATTCCTCAGAGCCAATGGTGGAGAGGGGTTGATCTTTGCCTGAGCACTACTGCTTTAATCTTGAAATGTCGGCATAGCAGGCTATTACTGCCCAGATGGGAGGACAACGTGGGGCTAAATTCGTTCATTAACGTACTTTCACTGGGGACCTTCCTCTGCACCTCATTTGGAGCTGCTAACAGTTTCAGCCACCAATGCATGTTAGCCTAATGGTTTTACTACCCACTGTGTAAAGGAGAGCTGTCATTCGGATTAAAGTTTTATCACTCATGCTTGAGGGACACCCCGTACCCTGTTTGTTCGGGATGTCAGCGTTTCTCTCATTCTCTACTTCCCAGTCATGTATCTAGATTTTTATCTTCCCCTCTCTCACCTTTAAATTATATTTAAAAAATGAAGCCCCATCATTTCGATTTGTATTCAGATGACTTCTCAAAAGACCATCTGAGAGGGGCATTGTGGGAAGGAAGCTATTGCCTGGAGCATGCCATATGGTGGGAAACCATAATAAGGTCAGTAAAAGCTGGGCACCACTGGAGTCAGCCTCCTCTTCTTCCTGCCTTAATCATCTCAAACAAGTTATTCCACCTCTGGAAGGTTCCACTCTCTCCTCTATAAAATGGGAATATTTTGAGTACCTACATCAGAAGGTTGTCGGGAGGACTAAGTGAAAGATTTCCTGTAAAATGTCTAGACCAGTTCCTGGCACATAGCAAGAAAACAGTAAATGTTAATGGCTCCTATTTTTGATGATGATGGTGATGATGTTCCTCCTTTGATTAAAGTCTTTTAAAGTTTCAGCAGAACCTACAGAATAAATGAATAGTTGTCGGTATTTAATCAGAAATAGTGCTGTGGAATCTAATGAAGAAAATAAACTGATGAACAAAATATATCCAGAGACACAGAGACATGGGACAGACTGATGAATCTCAGAGGAAAGGTGGGGGTGGGTTGGTGGGGAGAGATTAACCTGAGAACTAGAAGTCTGGTGCACAAATTCGTGTGCAGGTGGGGTCCTCTGGGTAGCATGCAGTAATGGGCCGAAACCACAGTCCAATGCTGCCTACAGCTCCTACCTTCTGCTCCTGCTCATCCCAACCCCACTGTGCCTACTGTGGGCTTGTGCCCAATCAGTGGAGAGACTCGCACTGTAGCAGCAATGCTCACTAGCTGTGAGCCCTGAATCTGGTGCCCTCCCAACAGGAGTGGCCTGCAGGATTGGGCTAAATCCAGCTCTCCAACATCCCCTGAAGGGTCCCAGATTGCAAGAGGCACAGGCCAGGCTGAGGGACCCTACCAGTGCATGATTGGGCAGGGGAAAGGATCACCGGAGGGCTCCAGGATGTGTCCAGCCCTTCTTGCACAGTCCTGATTGGCCGGACCCCAGCAGCAAGCTAACCTACCAGTCAGAGCGTCTCCCCCTCTGGTGGTCAGTATATGTCATAGAAACTTGTTGGCCAGTTGACTGTCTGCCCCCTGTTGGTCAGTGTACATCATAGCAAGCAGTTGAGCAGTCTTAGCATATTACACTTCGATTGGTTGTTCAGTTGTTCTGCCCTTTGGTCTATTTGCATATTACCCTTTTATTATATAGGATATGCATAGCCCATGGACACAGACAATAGTGTGGTTAAGGCCTGGAGGGTGTGCGTGAGGGGCGGGGAGGGGTCAATAGGGAAAAAAAAGAGGACATCTATAATACTTTCAAAAATAAAGACAAATTTAAAAATGAAATAGACACTTTAGATATTTCATAAGAAGTAGGGTTTAGAAGTCTATGCCTGTTTAGCCGGCGATGGAGGGAGACTATACAGGAGTGTGGATCCTCCATGAGTATGTCTGGACGGTGTGCTGGCAGATAGGGTGGTGCAGCTTGGGCACTGAGCTTCAGCAAGCCTAAGTGAGGTCCACACCAATGAGCAAGGGGTCCGTGTGAATTCGAGTGACTGTTCTGAAGAACTTACTTTACAGGGATACAATAGGAACACCAAAAGGTGGGCAAGACAAATCAAACTCAGCAGAAAAGTCCCTTCTAAGCCACGTCTACAATTCTTTCTGAGTATGCATTCTTGAGCCATTTTATCTGTCTCACAATTTTCACTTCCAAAGCAAAATTTATTTTTAGCTGATCCCAATCCCCTATAGGCTGCTGCATCTATGGATTGGGGTTAACTTTCTGTTGCTTAAAGGAACTCTATAGACTATACTCACAGCCCTATTTTTCTAGCTTGCTCATCACTTTCTTTTTCCCTTTTGAAGGGGATAACATATTCTATTCTTGGTGCTAGCCCAAAAGGAATTTGGGGAGAGCATTTTTAGAAAACTGCGTCAAATCGTTTCTCCTTTTGGCAAGGATACAAAAGGCAATATTACCTACCCCACTTAATGCACTGAAGGCAGATAAAGTTTGGGAGTGGGGGATTTCAGGGAGCAGCTGAAACACAAAACTGGCTGCTCTTTAAAAATGGAAACTCAGAACACGTGAGCTGTCTCTGAGGCAGAACCTCCTGGGCAAATTTGAAAAAAGAATAATGAAGACATAGCAATTAAAAAGCACTTTTCTGCAAAATGTCATTAGTGTTTAAAGTTACATAACCATTTCTTCAGCAGCGGAGGTTCACACAGCAGTCACCGCCAGAGCCTCTCCCAGTGACCTGGGCCCAACAAAGAGGCCCATTGCTGACCTCCTAGACAGGCGCCTGAGTCCTGCGGGCTTCAATGGGCGTCGTAAATCACTTGGAGGGGGATTTGGCCTCTAGAAGGACTGTGTGAAAGATATACAGCTGCTGGCTGGGTTGGAATATTCTGTCCCCACAGTTCCCAAAGCCACACACACACACACACACACACACACACACACACACACACGGAAAGAAAAACCGAGGAAGTGGGAGAGGGAGCATATAAATTTTGCTTCACAAAAGCCAGGAAGGCAATAGTTGAAGGTTTCATTTGAATACCATTTCGCCTACACTGAACATATGGAATTCCCCCCCGCCCCACAATCACATTATACTTTGGAAAAAAAAAATCTTGTTAGACTTTAAAATGGAATGTTTCAGTATTCCCCAGAGAGAATGGGCAATGTAGATGTGATGTGAAACACCCACATCATCTTCTCACTTCCTGCTTTTTGCCCATTTTCCTGAGACCTCCCTCCCACCTCACGTCCAACATGTACATCTCGCAGTATTTCTTGCATTTTCCTACAGTCTGAGATAGGATTTCTCCTTCTCTCTGGCACATGGTACAATAGCTCTATCTCCTTGCCTTTCTCCTTCCTCTGATCTCTTAGTAGTCTCTTCTTTATTCGGAACACACAAGGCATCCTGCCCTTTTACAGTCCTTCCATGTGCCAGTCATGTCATTTATATAGTCTGTGCACTTACCCATCCCTGAGCCTAGAATATTCTTTCCCGGATCTCTGCATGAATGCCTTGTTTTGCAGGCATTCCGACCTTCCCAGACCACCCAAGTTAAAATGCCTCTTCTGTTTTCTTCATAGCATTAGTTACTTACTGAAATTATCTTACTTGTTTGTTCTCATGTTTATTTTCGCATCTCCCACATCCCCCCCCCCCCATTAAAGTGGGTTTTAAGGGGCAGGCCTTGCCCGTCCACTACAGACCTGAGTGTAAATCA